GAGATACCTAGTTAACTAATTCAATCAGTCACACAGGATCCTTAAAGAGCAAAATTGTAAGTTAGAGACTCCCATGAACCAACGTTTAGATAAATATAATAGAAACTCATTTAAAACATTTTTTTACACATATACAAATTATTGTCAAACCAAGTGACGTCAGCTGAGGGACTCCTGTTAGCTTAATCCAGAGAAAAATATAGACTCTAATTCCGGCTCTGGCACAGATGAAACTTTAAATGTTAATAATCATACTTATGATGGACCAAAACCATAAATCAAATCAAATCAACTTTATTTATATAGCACTTTTCATACAAAAAAATGCAACTCAAAGTGCTTCACAGATTAAAATGGCCCCATAGATCCCATATTCCACCGGCTACAGAAGTAGGGACACATCATAAAGCTCAGTGAGCTCAGTCAGGAGCAGTCAGATCAGATCTCTCTTACCAGACAGGTGAACATTAGAAACAGACTTCTCATATATTTGTTTCTTGGATTCATAGAAGGAATTTATAAACTAAGTTAACAAACTCAGATTTAAACAACCTTGTAGTTCTGCATCAAGATCTTAAAATGACAACACAGTTTTCGACAATACATGGAGTGCATTTGGACCAACATAAAACTTTGGGATTTGTGGCTTTCCTCAAGGATGTTGACAAAATGCGTGAAAGCCAATTATCTGATATACAAAAACAGACAAGATATTTTAAACAGAAGTTTGAGAAAGAACAAACTGGTCGATCGGAGAACAGAAAGAAAAATCAGCGGCATTTTCACAGAATCAAAGCAGGAATGGACTTCCCCAGGGCTTCAAGTCAGAATAAGAAAACTCAAGCCAACGTGACCACAACGGACTCCCGACCAGACCATTTTAAAAAGGAGTTTGAGATGGAAAAAAGACTGAATTACAAAACGCTCTGGAGAACGTTAGGGAACTGAACAACTAATATAATGATGTCGTTACCACCAAACTTAAAGCAGATAATCTGGAACAAGAGCAGAAAAAGGAAATGACGGCTCACCCACACAGTGAAACTAACATTGAGAATAATGGGAGGGAGATGGGCAAGCAGTTTAAAATATCTAAACACGATGAGACTAGGGCTGGGCGATATGACGATTTTAGACCGTTTTACGATCTACACATCTGACGGTCTGTCATTTTTGAGAGACCGTTTTATCACGATTCACAGCTCTGCTGTTGAATTTCTTCCTCTGAATGAAAAGGGAACTTACCCCAGGCGAATGACACACCTTTGTTTGACCCTTAACCAATCAGAGTGAGTCATAGTAATATATTAGTGCCCCGCTTGTTTTCACCTTCACCTGTGTGTGAACAAACATGGCTTCGCCGCGGCTGAGCGACAACGAGGTTTTCGTTCCGAAGAGGAACGCAGGGTTTCCTTAGCGTGCGGCGCTAACAACTTAGCGACATGACATGTCTCGGAGAAAGCGTAAAAACACGTTGGACGCTTCTTCTGAAGCAGGAAAATAACACCGCTTCTTAAGCAGAGCACGACGTCGCCTCGGCTCGTTCACCCTCTGCCGAGCCGGTGTCGGTACCGACTGAGCTCGGTCACTGGGTCGATGGAGCTGCCCCGTGACTGCCTGATGGAAAACCAGCGGGTTTCATCAGACTCGTAAAGTTTCTTAGGGACCTTACCGCTCCCTCCTGCAGTCTTCCCCTATTAACATTTAAAATGATTCTGTAAACTCCGTGTATCAATAGAAACAATCTCTGCCAGCTGCAATAAATGTAGTCTCCAAATAATAAGAGGTGCATTTATCTGTGTATCTCCTTTGATCCGCATTAGTGATATTCTCAGCACCAGAACAGGGAAGCAAAGAAAGATTCCTGAGTTTGTTAGTAATTTTATTTATTAGGTGCATCTAACCTGTTCTATTTTTCTCTGAAATGAGATCAAATCAGTGCTTCTATGGGTTGTCTCCAATCTGCACTGGAAAATTTTACTTTATCTAGAGACTTGTTACAGAAAATATTCAGAATGCGCAGTTATTTGCTACCACAAGCGATCTCTGGTCCAGCCGCACATCAGAGCCGTATTTGAGCTTAACTATCCACTACATGAGCAACTGGGAGCTACATAGTATTTTGAACTAGTTAATGTTTGCACAATACGTTTGCAATTGACATGTTTGCACTTTAAATATGTTTACGATTTTAATTTATGTTAAGTTACTTGAAAAACGAGAAAAACTGATTTTTGTAATTGTTTCTCTCAGGGCTTTTATCATCTCTGGTGTGAGTTTAAAATATAAGTGTGTCAGCACTGTGCTGATTATCCCTAATATGAATAAATGTCTATTTATTCAGTGTTTCTCTTCTTTAATACGCAATTGAAGTTATGCTATTCATGGATAAAAAAAATCGTGATAAAATCGAAATCGTGATAAAATATTGGAAAAATCGTGATATTCTATTTTTGCCATATCGCCCAGCCCTAGATGAGACACAATTTCTAGAAGATTCAGATTCTTACGCACCTAGTGACGCCAGTGACATCACCAAATGACTGGCTAAAGAATCTCAGATAGAGATTTTGTCATGGTCTGCGTCAGTGTTAATTTTGACAGTAAATTTTAATCTTATTTTAGTCTTAGTCTTTTGGCTAAAAATTAATTTTAGTCTTAGTCCAGTTTTAGTCATTAGATTTATTTTAGTTTTAGTCCCATTTTAGTCGATGAAAATAAGCAATTTTAGTAAACAAAATCCATATATTTTTTCTAATGAAGTAATTTCCTACTTTTGTATAGAACACGGAAAAACTAGTGTAATTTAATACACAGGGTCCGAAATCTTAACCACCACTGATCAGATATAGCACACACAGCTAAGAACATAGAATATTTGAATTAAAAAAACACCTCACATGTTTAACACTTACGTGTTTAATAAAAAACAAAAAGCACATTGGAAATTACAAAGATGCTCTTTTTAGCAATTGCACAACATGAATTTACAAGAACAGCAAATTTAAACATGTTAACCCTGAGTCTGTAGATATTCACTTGTTACAACACTGGCTCAACCAAACAGTGTGAATATTTATTTGCTGCGATTCATTTTGAGAAAAGCACTTCATGCTAGTGTGACCTTTGCTCGGTTGCGTTTCCCTCTAGTGAGGTCACCTGTGATACTGAACACTCTTTCTGCAAAAGATTGAGAAGCTGGCATTGCCAATATATCTAATGCTAATGGTTTCAGGCTGTGATAAAATGTGTCACATTCTCTTCTTTAATGTGTTGTTCTTTGGCATCACTCTTGTACTTTGTAGTACTTGTAAATGCGTCCTCAATGTTCTGGTTGGACATTTTTGCCTTTTTGGTAGCTGGTTGGCCACCATCAGCAATGGTTTTCTGCAACTGCAAAAAAATAAAAATGCACAATTAAAACTTTGACTTTCTAACAATGATTTACCTTTGGTACCCACGGGTTCATTTTTGTTGTCAGTCTGCGTAGCCTTGGCCTGGTTAGCTTTAGTTGCTTCACCTCGAAGACTACAGTCAAACAGGCTCGCTTGTTTAGTTGTTCCTCCTTTTCCCTTCTGTGACTTAATCGCATTAGGCGTTGTTCCGCAAAAACTTCCTGATTTTTAAGTTATTAGTGAGCAGGAGAACATTAGAATCAACTTAGCAGCAGAGCAAAAAAAAAAAAAAAACACGTCCTCCTACATTGCCGCAATAACCGGATCCCTCAGCTTTTGTTTTTTACTATGAACTTTTACTATAAATGATCATTTTTTATCTGTCCTGAAAATAAAGTCATACAAATAAAAATACAACATTTATCATTTTATATTCAGATTGACAGTAAATAATTAAACGCCCCTTATTTTTAAATAATGAAACACATTATGGAAAATCTGTTAATTAAAATGAATAAAACTAAATGCAGTATTAATTAATGCTGCATTTAGTTTAATTAATTTACTATTTAACTAATTAATTAATTAATTGATGTGTTTGTGTGTGTGTGTGTGTGTGTGTGTGTGTGGTCCATTTTTTATAAAGAAAAAAGCTGCTTAGTTTCCTCCACTTCATTACAAAAGAACAAAAGCAATGGTTCAAACATTTTATGGCCAAAATACTTTTGAATAATTGAGTTTTTCAGCTGACAACCAAAAACAAAGAATATGACAAAAAAATTGTATATTTTTTAAAATAATAATCAATGTTATTTTTTAAATGTCCCAGTCTCTAACTGACCCAGACCTGGAGGATCTTCTACAACACAACCAGGAATCAGATGTATTAAATATGCACAAACATTCATACGATAAATGTTCTGTTGATAGTACAAAGCATCAGGTATAAGGACCACAACACCACAACATCAACAAGTCACCAGGGGGCATGCTTAATTGTAATCAGAACTATAACAACAAAGAAAAAAAGATTCAATTTAATTCAAAAATACTTTATTAATCCCAGGGGGAAATTGATTGCTGTAGTAGCTCAGAATAATAATAATAATAATCAAGTCATCAAAGAGTTGTTGTATATCACAACGGCTGTTGGCAGGAAGGATCTCCAGTAGCGGTCAGTGTTGCAGCGAATCTGAAGAAGCCTCTGACTGAAGACACTCTTCCGTTGTCGGACAGTCTTGTGAAGAGAATGCTCAGGGTTGTCCATCATTTTCTTGATTATCTGGAGAATCCTTCTTTGCATTATCTTCTCCAGCGGTTCCGAAACTGCCGAAACTCTGGCTGAGTCCTTGAAAGGGCTTGGAGTTCCTCCATCTTGTTGTCCAGTGATCTCACATTGCCCATTATGATCGATGGAAGAGATGGTTTGAATTTCCTCTTTCTCTGTCTCCGTTTTGCTCCCGCTCTGCATCCACGCTTTTTACGTTTTAGCTCATTTGGGATTTGTGGCTTCAGTTGAGGTATTATTTCAGCCTTTCCAATGTTAATCAGCTGCTCCCGATGTTAAGCCATCTTGTTGCCATGGTTATGCATCATAACAAATGTTCAACAAGTGAAAAAAGCTAAAAAATAGAAGTAAAAATCCTCCAAGTTTCACAGCACCAGAAACAGAAAAGTCAAGTGTCCAAAAAATACAGTTTTTCTTGAGAAACTAGAAGAAAAAATGTCCAAGAAAAGGCTAAACTTACATATAGTCAACAGAGCTACTCCAACATGCAGCCGCCCAGAGCAGCGCAGTTCTGGGGGGGAAAACAAAAATAATGATAATAATGGTCAGGAGAACGGAATCTGCCAGCATCAGCTTCCTTTGATGATGTCATAAAGGAGAGTGCAGTCCTATATAAAGGGCAAACATAAAGCAGGCACACAGACAGCTTCATTTGCAGCCTGGTTTTAGACCTGAGCAGACCTACAATGGCTACTGGTGGACCACACGAGGGAAACATGGAGGTATTTTCAGACATTTATAAAGCTGAATTAGACCAAAGGAATGAGCTTTTACAAAGAGAATTACGAGATCTGGAAGTCAAAAAACTAGTTTTTGGTAACCAGGAACGCGACTTTGAACAAAGGGTGGATGCGTTTGAGAAAAACATAGCTCGCATCAGGGAAAGTCTCCAAGAGGAAAGACAGAAATTGGAAACAAAAACGCAGTATCTGGAGAAAAGAGAACGCCACTTTGAGGATCAACAAAAGAAACTAACGAATCATGTTGATGAACTAAAGACGAACTCTCAGAAAGGAAGAGATAATTTAGTTTCAACTCAGTTACTCGACGAACACAGAGTAAAGATTGAGCTGGAAAACAGGGAACTGCAGAAACAAAGACAAGAAATTCAAGATGAGTGGAATAAAATTAAAGAAACTCAAATTGCAAATTGTGAGATAGCCAAAAACTTGAATAAGACACAAGAGAAAGTTGGAGACTTATGGAAAGCTTTACAGGTAAGCAAAGAGAGATCAAGAGAAGAAATTAATAACTTGAAAAGAGATCTGGAAAGACAGAAATTAGAGTTTATCGAATCTAAGAAACAAACAGAAAGGGAGTTAACTGCAGAAAAGCAGACTCTCTGCGATGAGAAGGAGCGTTTAAACGCTGGGAAAATTACTCTACAGAACCAGATCGTTGAGTTTCAGACTGAATCGGAGCAGATCAGACAGATTCTGCTCAAAGACAAACTAGATGTTCAACTTCTGAGAGAAAATCTGCAGGAGGACAAATTGGATTTTATGAAAACAGCAGAAGGGTTCCAGAAAGATTTAAACGAAAGTTTACAGGATTTGAAGGAGAAGCTGGAATTTCTGAGTCTTGAGAAGAGAAGTCTGGAGGAAGAAAAACAACGTTTCCTGATGACCAAATCAGAATCAGGGAAGGAACAAGGGAGGATTTACAAAATCCTCCAGGAAGAATTAGACAATTTGCATTCGGGAAAACAAAGTCTGGAAACACAAGTGACGGACTTTAGGGAAGAAATGTTCTCCTGGTCCCCTGTCGCTGATGTTCTGAACAGCAAAATTACGGCAAATACTCTAGAGAATGAGCTGAAAAAGGAGAGGCACACTTATCATCTTACTAAAACTCAGCTAGAAAATATCAGCAGTGAGATTGAGAAGAAGTTTAAGCAAAATGAGACACGATTGCAGAAAGATCTGGATTGCATGAAGGAGCTCAGAGATAAGTTTGAAGCTGACCTTTCTGCTAAACAGCAGCTTGAATATTTTGAGGAAAAACCTAATTTAGAGATCCAGGCCCATTCTGAGACAAAGATTCAGACCAAAGAGATTGTAGAGAAATTAAGAGCTGAGAAGGACACTCTTCAGATACGGGCCGATAGACAGATGTCTCTTCTGAAGGAGAACTTTGATAAAAAAGAGACTGAATTACAAAACGCCCTGGAGAACATTAGGGAACTGAATAACAAATATAATGATGTCGTTACCAACAAACTTAAAGCATATCATCTGGAACAAGAGCAGACACAATTTCAAGAAGATTCAAATTCTTACGCAACTAGTGTCGCCAGTGACATCACCAAACGACTGGCTAAAGAATCTCAGATGGAGATTTGGGAAAAACTGGAGGTTCAAGCCGAGGAAAATCCCGTCGCCTTACTAACTAAGATGTCTACTCTTTTAAATCAGAGTCCTCTACATGATCCATCTCAGGTACCTGGTGCCATTGCAACTCGACTGTCAGTGATTACTAGTGTGAGTGCAACCAGAAGTCAGAATTCATTTTTTTATGGAAATCAAAGAAATAAGCAGTGTCTTCCAAACAGTTTGGTGTTTTTGTCGTTTCTACACGAGAACGAGAACATTAACAGCTCAGACCTGGACCTAGTTTTGGACAAAGGTGATCGAATGTACTCACAAGTTAGGCTCGCCCATCCAGCTAGAGACCACCTGGCTACAGATGAGTTACCTACCGAGGTCAAAGCTCGGTTTACTCTATATCATGTCAAAATGAACTTTGCAAATTCCAAATGTGGGGTATTTTTGTCAGGCAACCTTCCCAACTTGTCACAGGGATTACAGTGTTTGACCTCAGATGTTGAGTATGCGCTAATGGTTATGGGCAGCACCTGCATTGCTATATTCAGAACTCAATCAGGTGAATTTGGTTACTTTGATCCACATCCCCGCAACACCTACGGTGACCCTGTAGGCGACTGTGCCGTCATGTTAAAGTTCACGTGTTTAACTGACATGATTGATAGAATCACGTCTGTATACACCACAATTGGTGTATCGCCATCTGACTACTATGAAATCCAGCCAGTGGAGTTTTAGAGTTTAGACCTAGTTAGTCTGATACATAGCACATCAGACATCAGAGACAAAACTGCTGCAGTTGGGTTATACCCACGGCAAGAGAACATTAGATTAGTAACAAGTGAGATACCTAGTTAACTAATTCAATCAGTCACACAGGATCCTTAAAGAGCAAAATTGTAAGTTAGAGACTCCCATGAACCAACGTTTAGATAAATATAATAGAAACTCATTTAAAACATTTTTTTACACATATACAAATTATTGTCAAACCAAGTGACGTCAGCTGAGGGACTCCTGTTAGCTTAATCCAGAGAAAAATATAGACTCTAATTCCGGCTCTGGCACAGATGAAACTTTAAATGTTAATAATCATACTTATGATGGACCAAAACCATAAATCAAATCAAATCAACTTTATTTATATAGCACTTTTCATACAAAAAAATGCAACTCAAAGTGCTTCACAGATTAAAATGGCCTCATAGATCCCATATTCCACCGGCTACAGAAGTAGGGACACATCATAAAGCTCAGTGAGCTCAGTCAGGAGCAGTCAGATCAGATCTCTCTTACCAGACAGGTGAACATTAGAAACAGACTTCTCATATATTTGTTTCTTGGATTCATAGAAGGAATTTATAAACTAAGTTAACAAACTCAGATTTAAACAACCTTGTAGTTCTGCATCAAGATCTTAAAATGACAACACAGTTTTCGACAATACATGGAGTGCATTTGGACCAACATAAAACTTTGGGATTTGTGGCTTTCCTCAAGGATGTTGACAAAATGCGTGAAAGCCAATTATCTGATATACAAAAACAGACAAGATATTTTAAACAGAAGTTTGAGAAAGAACAAACTGGTCGATCGGAGACCAGAAAGAAAAATCAGCGGCATTTTCACAGAATCAAAGCAGGAATGGACTTCCCCAGGGCTTCAAGTCAGAATAAGAAAACTCAAGCCAACGTGACCACAACGGACTCCCGACCAGACCATTTTAAAAAGGAGTTTGAGATGGAAAAAAGACTGAATTACAAAACGCTCTGGAGAACGTTAGGGAACTGAACAACTAATATAATGATGTCGTTACCACCAAACTTAAAGCAGATAATCTGGAACAAGAGCAGAAAAAGGAAATGACGGCTCACCCACACATTGAAACTAACATTGAGAATAATGGGAGGGAGATGGGCAAGCAGTTTAAAATATCTAAACACGATGAGACTAGGGCTGGGCGATATGACGATTTTAGACCGTTTTACGATCTACACATCTGACGGTCTGTCATTTTTGAGAGACCGTTTTATCACGATTCACAGCTCTGCTGTTGAATTTCTTCCTCTGAATGAAAAGGGAACTGACCCCAGGCGAATGACACACCTTTGTTTGACCCTTAACCAATCAGAGTGAGTCATAGTAATATATTAGTGCCCCGCTTGTTTTCACCTTCACCTGTGTGTGAACAAACATGGCTTCGCCGCGGCTGAGCGACAACGAGGTTTTCGTTCCGAAGAGGAACGCAGGGTTTCCTTAGCGCGCGGCGCTAACAACTTAGCGACATGACATGTCTCGGAGAAAGCGTAAAAACACGTTGGACGCTTCTTCTGAAGCAGGAAAATAACACCGCTTCTTAAGCAGAGCACGACGTCGCCTCGGCTCGTTCACCCTCTGCCGAGCCGGTGTCGGTACCGACTGAGCTCGGTCACTGGGTCGATGGAGCTGCCCCGTGACTGCCTGATGGAAAACCAGCGGGTTTCATCAGACTCGTAAAGTTTCTTAGGGACCTTACCGCTCCCTCCTGCAGTCTTCCCCTATTAACATTTAAAATGATTCTGTAAACTCCGTGTATCAATAGAAACAATCTCTGCCAGCTGCAGTAAATGTAGTCTCCAAATAATAAGAGGTGCATTTATCTGTGTATCTCCTTTGATCCGCATTAGTGATATTCTCAGCACCAGAACAGGGAAGCAAAGAAAGATTCCTGAGTTTGTTAGTAATTTTATTTATTAGGTGCATCTAACCTGTTCTATTTTTCTCTGAAATGAGATCAAATCAGTGCTTCTATGGGTTGTCTCCAATCTGCACTGGAAAATTTTACTTTATTTAGAGACTTGTTACAGAAAATATTCAGAATGCGCAGTTATTTGCTACCACAAGCGATCTCTGGTCCAGCCGCACATCAGAGCCGTATTTGAGCTTAACTATCCACTACACGAGCAACTGGGAGCTACATAGTATTTTGAACAAGTTAATGTTTGCACAATACGTTTGCAATTGACATGTTTGCACTTTAAATATGTTTACGATTTTAATTTATGTTAAGTTACTTGAAAAACGAGAAAAACTGATTTTTGTAATTGTTTCTCTCAGGGCTTTTATCATCTCTGGTGTGAGTTTAAAATATAAGTGTGTTAGCACTGTGCTGATTATCCCTAATATGAATAAATGTCTATTTATTCAGTGTTTCTCTTCTTTAATACGCAATTGAAGTTATGCTATTCATGGATAAAAAAAATCGTGATAAAATCGAAATCGTGATAAAATATTGGAAAAATCGTGATATTCTATTTTTGCCATATCGCCCAGCCCTAGATGAGACACAATTTCTAGAAGATTCAGATTCTTACGCACCTAGTGACGCCAGTGACATCACCAAATGACTGGCTAAAGAATCTCAGATAGAGATTTTGTCATGGTCTGCGTCAGTGTTAATTTTGACAGTAAATTTTAATCTTATTTTAGTCTTAGTCTTTTGGCTAAAAATTAATTTTAGTCTTAGTCCAATTTTAGTCATTAGATTTATTTTAGTTTTAGTCCCATTTTAGTCGATGAAAATAAGCAATTTTAGTAAACAAAATCCATATATTTTTTCTAATGAAGTAATTTCCTACTTTTGTATAGAACACGGAAAAACTAGTGTAATTTAATACACAGGGTCCGAAATCTTAACCACCACTGATCAGATATAGCACACACAGCTAAGAACATAGAATATTTGAATTAAAAAAACACCTCACATGTTTAACACTTACGTGTTTAATAAAAAACAAAAAGCACATTGGAAATTACAAAGATGCTCTTTTTAGCAATTGCACAACATGAATTTACAAGAACAGCAAATTTAAACATGTTAACCCTGAGTCTGTAGATATTCACTTGTTACAACACTGGCTCAACCAAACAGTGTGAATATTTATTTGCTGCGATTCATTTTGAGAAAAGCACTTCATGCTAGTGTGACCTTTGCTCGGTTGCGTTTCCCTCTAGTGAGGTCACCTGTGATACTGAACACTCTTTCTGCAAAAGATTGAGAAGCTGGCATTGCCAATATATCTAATGCTAATGGTTTCAGGCTGTGATAAAATGTGTCACATTCTCTTCTTTAATGTGTTGTTCTTTGGCATCACTCTTGTACTTTGTAGTACTTGTAAATGCGTCCTCAATGTTCTGGTTGGACATTTTTGCCTTTTTGGTAGCTGGTTGGCCACCATCAGCAATGGTTTTCTGCAACTGCAAAAAAATAAAAATGCACAATTAAAACTTTGACTTTCTAACAATGATTTACCTTTGGTACCCACGGGTTCATTTTTGTTGTCAGTCTGCGTAGCCTTGGCCTGGTTAGCTTTAGTTGCTTCACCTCGAAGACTACAGTCAAACAGGCTCGCTTGTTTAGTTGTTCCTCCTTTTCCCTTCTGTGACTTAATCGCATTAGGCGTTGTTCCGCAAAAACTTCCTGATTTTTAAGTTATTAGTGAGCAGGAGAACATTAGAATCAACTTAGCAGCAGAGCAAAAAAAAAAAAAAAACACGTCCTCCTACATTGCCGCAATAACCGGATCCCTCAGCTTTTGTTTTTTACTATGAACTTTTACTATAAATGATCATTTTTTATCTGTCCTGAAAATAAAGTCATACAAATAAAAATACAACATTTATCATTTTATATTCAGATTGACAGTAAATAATTAAACGCCCCTTATTTTTAAATAATGAAACACATTATGGAAAATCTGTTAATTAAAATGAATAAAACTAAATGCAGTATTAATTAATGCTGCATTTAGTTTAATTAATTTACTATTTAACTAATTAATTAATTAATTGATGTGTTTGTGTGTGTGTGTGTGTGTGTGTGTGGTCCATTTTTTATAAAGAAAAAAGCTGCTTAGTTTCCTCCACTTCATTACAAAAGAACAAAAGCAATGGTTCAAACATTTTATGGCCAAAATACTTTTGAATAATTGAGTTTTTCAGCTGACAACCAAAAACAAAGAATATGACAAAAAAATTGTATATTTTTTAAAATAATAATCAATGTTATTTTTTAAATGTCCCAGTCTCTAACTGACCCAGACCTGGAGGATCTTCTACAACACAACCAGGAATCAGATGTATTAAATATGCACAAACATTCATACGATAAATGTTCTGTTGATAGTACAAAGCATCAGGTATAAGGACCACAACACCACAACATCAACAAGTCACCAGGGGGCATGCTTAATTGTAATCAGAACTATAACAACAAAGAAAAAAAGATTCAATTTAATTCAAAAATACTTTATTAATCCCAGGGGGAAATTGATTGCTGTAGTAGCTCAGAATAATAATAATAATAATCAAGTCATCAAAGAGTTGTTGTATATCACAACGGCTGTTGGCAGGAAGGATCTCCAGTAGTGGTCAGTGTTGCAGCGAATCTGAAGAAGCCTCTGACTGAAGACACTCTTCCGTTGTCGGACAGTCTTGTGAAGAGAATGCTCAGGGTTGTCCATCATTTTCTTGATTATCTGGAGAATCCTTCTTTGCATTATCTTCTCCAGCGGTTCCGAAACTGCCGAAACTCTGGCTGAGTCCTTGAAAGGGCTTGGAGTTCCTCCATCTTGTTGTCCAGTGATCTCACATTGCCCATTATGATCGATGGAAGAGATGGTTTGAATTTCCTCTTTCTCTGTCTCCGTTTTGCTCCCGCTCTGCATCCACGCTTTTTACGTTTTAGCTCATTTGGGATTTGTGGCTTCAGTTGAGGTATTATTTCAGCCTTTCCAATGTTAATCAGCTGCTCCCGATGTTAAGCCAGCTTGTTGCCATGGTTATGCATCATAACAAATGTTCAACAAGTGAAAAAAGCTAAAAAATAGAAGTAAAAATCCTCCAAGTTTCACAGCACCAGAAACAGAAAAGTCAAGTGTCCAAAAAATACAGTTTTTCTTGAGAAACTAGAAGAAAAAATGTCCAAGAAAAGGCTAAACTTACATATAGTCAACAGAGCTACTCCAACATGCAGCCGCCCAGAGCAGCGCAGTTCTGGGGGGGAAAACAAAAATAATGATAATAATGGTCAGGAGAACGGAATCTGCCAGCATCAGCTTCCTTTGATGATGTCATAAAGGAGAGTGCAGTCCTATATAAAGGGCAAACATAAAGCAGGCACACAGACAGCTTCATTTGCAGCCTGGTTTTAGACCTGAGCAGACCTACAATGGCTACTGGTGGACCACACGAGGGAAACATGGAGGTATTTTCAGACATTTATAAAGCTGAATTAGACCAAAGGAATGAGCTTTTACAAAGAGAATTACGAGATCTGGAAGTCAAAAAACTAGTTTTTGGTAACCAGGAACGCGACTTTGAACAAAGGGTGGATGCGTTTGAGAAAAACATAGCTCGCATCAGGGAAAGTCTCCAAGAGGAAAGACAGAAATTGGAAACAAAAACGCAGTATCTGGAGAAAAGAGAACGCCACTTTGAGGATCAACAAAAGAAACTAACGAATCATGTTGATGAACTAAAGACGAACTCTCAGAAAGGAAGAGATAATTTAGTTTCAACTCAGTTACTCGACGAACACAGAGTAAAGATTGAGCTGGAAAACAGGGAACTGCAGAAACAAAGACAAGAAATTCAAGATGAGTGGAATAAAATTAAAGAAACTCAAATTGCAAATTGTGAGATAGCCAAAAACTTGAATAAGACACAAGAGAAAGTTGGAGACTTATGGAAAGCTTTACAGGTAAGCAAAGAGAGATCAAGAGAAGAAATTAATAACTTGAAAAGAGATCTGGAAAGACAGAAATTAGAGTTTATCGAATCTAAGAAACAAACAGAAAGGGAGTTAACTGCAGAAAAGCAGACTCTCTGCGATGAGAAGGAGCGTTTAAACGCTGGGAAAATTACTCTACAGAACCAGATCGTTGAGTTTCAGACTGAATCGGAGCAGATCAGACAGATTCTGCTCAAAGACAAACTAGATGTTCAACTTCTGAGAGAAAATCTGCAGGAGGACAAATTGGATTTTATGAAAACAGCAGAAGGGTTCCAGAAAGATTTAAACGAAAGTTTACAGGATTTGAAGGAGAAGCTGGAATTTCTGAGTCTTGAGAAGAGAAGTCTGGAGGAAGAAAAACAACGTTTCCTGATGACCAAATCAGAATCAGGGAAGGAACAAGGGAGGATTTACAAAATCCTCCAGGAAGAATTAGACAATTTGCATTCGGGAAAACAAAGTCTGGAAACACAAGTGACGGACTTTAGGGAAGAAATGTTCTCCTGGTCCCCTGTCGCTGATGTTCTGAACAGCAAAATTACGGCAAATACTCTAGAGAATGAGCTGAAAAAGGAGAGGCACACTTATCATCTTACTAAAACTCAGCTAGAAAATATCAGCAGTGAGATTGAGAAGAAGTTTAAGCAAAATGAGACACGATTGCAGAAAGATCTGGATTGCATGAAGGAGCTCAGAGATAAGTTTGAAGCTGACCTTTCTGCTAAACAGCAGCTTGAATATTTTGAGGAAAAACCTAATTTAGAGATCCAGGCCCATTCTGAGACAAAGATTCAGACCAAAGAGATTGTAGAGAAATTAAGAGCTGAGAAGGACACTCTTCAGATACGGGCCGATAGACAGATGTCTCTTCTGAAGGAGAACTTTGATAAAAAAGAGACTGAATTACAAAACGCCCTGGAGAACATTAGGGAACTGAATAACAAATATAATGATGTCGTTACCAACAAACTTAAAGCATATCATCTGGAACAAGAGCAGACACAATTTCAAGAAGATTCAAATTCTTACGCAACTAGTGTCGCCAGTGACATCACCAAACGACTGGCTAAAGAATCTCAGATGGAGATTTGGGAAAAACTGGAGGTTCAAGCCGAGGAAAATCCCGTCGCCTTACTAACTAAGATGTCTACTCTTTTAAATCAGAGTCCTCTACATGATCCATCTCAGGTACCTGGTGCCATTGCAACTCGACTGTCAGTGATTACTAGTGTGAGTGCAACCAGAAGTCAGAATTCATTTTTTTATGGAAATCAAAGAAATAAGCAGTGTCTTCCAAACAGTTTGGTGTTTTTGTCGTTTCTACACGAGAACGAGAACATTAACAGCTCAGACCTGGACCTAGTTTTGGACAAAGGTGATCGAATGTACTCACAAGTTAGGCTCGCCCATCCAGCTAGAGACCACCTGGCTACAGATGAGTTACCTACCGAGGTCAAAGCTCGGTTTACTCTATATCATGTCAAAATGAACTTTGCAAATTCCAAATGTGGGGTATTTTTGTCAGGCAACCTTCCCAACTTGTCACAGGGATTACAGTGTTTGACCTCAGATGTTGAGTATGCGCTAATGGTTATGGGCAGCACCTGCATTGCTATATTCAGAACTCAATCAGGTGAATTTGGTTACTTTGATCCACATCCCCGCAACACCTACGGTGACCCTGTAGGCGACTGTGCCGTCATGTTAAAGTTCACGTGTTTAACTGACATGATTGATAGAATCACGTCTGTATACACCACAATTGGTGTATCGCCATCTGACTACTATGAAATCCAGCCAGTGGAGTTTTAGAGTTTAGACCTAGTTAGTCTGATACATAGCACATCAGACATCAGAGACAAAACTGCTGCAGTTGGGTTATACCCACGGCAAGAGAACATTAGATTAGTAACAAGTGAGATACCTAGTTAACTAATTCAATCAGTCACACAGGATCCTTAAAGAGCAAAATTGTAAGTTAGAGACTCCCATGAACCAACGTTTAGATAAATATAATAGAAACTCATTTAAAACATTTTTTTACACATATACAAATTATTGTCAAACCAAGTGACGTCAGCTGAGGGACTCCTGTTAGCTTAATCCAGAGAAAAATATAGACTCTAATTCCGGCTCTGGCACAGATGAAACTTTAAATGTTAATAATCATACTTATGATGGACCAAAACCATAAATCAAATCAAATCAACTTTATTTATATAGCACTTTTCATACAAAAAAATGCAACTCAAAGTGCTTCACAGATTAAAATGGCCTCATAGATCCCATATTCCACCGGCTACAGAAGTAGGGACACATCATAAAGCTCAGTGAGCTCAGTCAGGAGCAGTCAGATCAGATCTCTCTTACCAGACAGGTGAACATTAGAAACAGACTTCTCATATATTTGTTTCTTGGATTCATAGAAGGAATTTATAAACTAAGTTAACAAACTCAGATTTAAACAACCTTGTAGTTCTGCATCAAGATCTTAAAATGACAACACAGTTTTCGACAATACATGGAGTGCATTTGGACCAACATAAAACTTTGGGATTTGTGGCTTTCCTCAAGGATGTTGACAAAATGCGTGAAAGCCAATTATCTGATATACAAAAACAGACAAGATATTTTAAACAGAAGTTTGAGAAAGAACAAACTGGTCGATCGGAGACCAGAAAGAAAAATCAGCGGCATTTTCACAGAATCAAAGCAGGAATGGACTTCCCCAGGGCTTCAAGTCAGAATAAGAAAACTCAAGCCAACGTGACCACAACGGACTCCCGACCAGACCATTTTAAAAAGGAGTTTGAGATGGAAAAAAGACTGAATTACAAAACGCTCTGGAGAACGTTAGGGAACTGAACAACTAATATAATGATGTCGTTACCACCAAACTTAAAGCAGATAATCTGGAACAAGAGCAGAAAAAGGAAATGACGGCTCACCCACACATTGAAACTAACATTGAGAATAATGGGAGGGAGATGGGCAAGCAGTTTAAAATATCTAAACACGATGAGACTAGGGCTGGGCGATATGACGATTTTAGACCGTTTTACGATCTACACATCTGACGGTCTGTCATTTTTGAGAGACCGTTTTATCACGATTCACAGCTCTGCTGTTGAATTTCTTCCTCTGAATGAAAAGGGAACTGACCCCAGGCGAATGACACACCTTTGTTTGACCCTTAACCAATCAGAGTGAGTCATAGTAATATATTAGTGCCCCGCTTGTTTTCACCTTCACCTGTGTGTGAACAAACATGGCTTCGCCGCGGCTGAGCGACAACGAGGTTTTCGTTCCGAAGAGGAACGCAGGGTTTCCTTAGCGCGCGGCGCTAACAACTTAGCGACATGACATGTCTCGGAGAAAGCGTAAAAACACGTTGGACGCTTCTTCTGAAGCAGGAAAATAACACCGCTTCTTAAGCAGAGCACGACGTCGCCTCGGCTCGTTCACCCTCTGCCGAGCCGGTGTCGGTACCGACTGAGCTCGGTCACTGGGTCGATGGAGCTGCCCCGTGACTGCCTGATGGAAAACCAGCGGGTTTCATCAGACTCGTAAAGTTTCTTAGGGACCTTACCGCTCCCTCCTGCAGTCTTCCCCTATTAACATTTAAAATGATTCTGTAAACTCCGTGTATCAATAGAAACAATCTCTGCCAGCTGCAATAAATGTAGTCTCCAAATAATAAGAGGTGCATTTATCTGTGTATCTCCTTTGATCCGCATTAGTGATATTCTCAGCACCAGAACAGGGAAGCAAAGAAAGATTCCTGAGTTTGTTAGTAATTTTATTTATTAGGTGCATCTAACCTGTTCTATTTTTCTCTGAAATGAGATCAAATCAGTGCTTCTATGGGTTGTCTCCAATCTGCACTGGAAAATTTTACTTTATTTAGAGACTTGTTACAGAAAATATTCAGAATGCGCAGTTATTTGCTACCACAAGCGATCTCTGGTCCAGCCGCACATCAGAGCCGTATTTGAGCTTAACTATCCACTACATGAGCAACTGGGAGCTACATAGAGCTACATAGTATTTTGAACTAGTTAATGTTTGCACAATACGTTTGCAATTGACATGTTTGCACTTTAAATATGTTTACGATTTTAATTTATGTTAAGTTACTTGAAAAACGAGAAAAACTGATTTTTGTAATTGTTTCTGTCAGGGCTTTTATCATCTCTGGTGTGAGTTTAAAATATAAGTGTGTCAGCACTGTGCTGATTATCCCTAGTATGAATAAATGTCTATTTTTTCAATGTTTCTCTTCTTTAATACGCAATTGAAGTTATGCTATTCATGGATAAAAAAAATCGTGATAAAATCGAAATCGTGATAAAATATTGGAAAAATCGTGATATTCTATTTTTGCCATATCGCCCAGCCCTAGATGAGACACAATTTCTAGAAGATTCAGATTCTTACGCACCTAGTGACGCCAGTGACATCACCAAATGACTGGCTAAAGAATCTCAGATAGAGATTTTGTCATGGTCTGCGTCAGTGTTAATTTTGACAGTAAATTTTAATCTTATTTTAGTCTTAGTCTTTTGGCTAAAAATTAATTTTAGTCTTAGTCCAATTTTAGTCATTAGATTTATTTTAGTTTTAGTCCCATTTTAGTCGATGAAAATAAGCAATTTTAGTAAACAAAATCCATATATTTTTTCTAATGAAATAATTTCCTACTTTTGTATAGAACACGGAAAAACTAGTGTAATTTAATACACAGGGTCCGAAATCTTAACCACCACTGATCAGATATAGCACACACAGCTAAGAACATAGAATATTTGAATTAAAAAAACACCTCACATGTTTAACACTTACGTGTTTAATAAAAAACAAAAAGCACATTGGAAATTACAAAGATGCTCTTTTTAGCAATTGCACAACATGAATTTACAAGAACAGCAAATTTAAACATGTTAACCCTGAGTCTGTAGATATTCACTTGTTACAACACTGGCTCAACCAAACAGTGTGAATATTTATTTGCTGCGATTCATTTTGAGAAAAGCACTTCATGCTAGTGTGACCTTTGCTCGGTTGCGTTTCCCTCTAGTGAGGTCACCTGTGATACTGAACACTCTTTCTGCAAAAGATCGAGAAGCTGGCATTGCCAATATATCTAATGCTAATGGTTTCAGGCTGTGATAAAATGTGTCACATTCTCTTCTTTAATGTGTTGTTCTTTGGCATCACTCTTGTACTTTGTAGTACTTGTAAATGCGTCCTCAATGTTCTGGTTGGACATTTTTGCCTTTTTGGTAGCTGGTTGGCCACCATCAGCAATGGTTTTCTGCAACTGCAAAAAAATAAAAATGCACAATTAAAACTTTGACTTTCTAACAATGATTTACCTTTGGTACCCACGGGTTCATTTTTGTTGTCAGTCTGCGTAGCCTTGGCCTGGTTAGCTTTAGTTGCTTCACCTCGAAGACTACAGTCAAACAGGCTCGCTTGTTTAGTTGTTCCTCCTTTTCCCTTCTGTGACTTAATCGCATTAGGCGTTGTTCCGCAAAAACTTCCTGATTTTTAAGTTATTAGTGAGCAGGAGAACATTAGAATCAACTTAGCAGCAGAGCAAAAAAAAAAAAAAAAAAAAACACGTCCTCCTACATTGCCGCAATAACCGGATCCCTCAGCTTTTGTTTTTTACTATGAACTTTTACTATAAATGATCATTTTTTATCTGTCCTGAAAATAAAGTCATACAAATAAAAATACAACATTTATCATTTTATATTCAGATTGACAGTAAATAATTAAACGCCCCTTATTTTTAAATAATGAAACACATTATAGAAAATCTGTTAATTAAAATGAATAAAACTAAATGCAGTATTAATTAATGCTGCATTTAGTTTAATTAATTTACTATTTAACTAATTAATTAATTAATTGATGTGTTTGTGTGTGTGTGTGTGTGTGGTCCATTTTTTATAAAGAAAAAAGCAGCTTAGTTTCCTCCACTTCATTACAAAAGAACAAAAGCAATGGTTCAAACATTTTATGGCCAAAATACTTTTAAATAATTGAGTTTTTCAGCTGACAACCAAAAACAAAGAATATGACTAAAAAATTGTATATTTTTTAAAATAATAATCAATGTTATTTTTTAAATGTCCCAGTCTCTAACTGACCCAGACCTGGAGGATCTTCTACAACACAACCAGGAATCAGATGTATTAAATATGCACAAACATCCATATGATAAATGTTCTGTTGATAGTACAAAGCATCAGGTATAAGGACCACAACACCACAACATCAACAAGTCACCAGGGGGCATGCTTAATTGTAATCAGAACTATAACAACAAAGAAAAAAAGATTCAATTTAATTCAAAAATACTTTATTAATCCCAGGGGGAAATTGATTGCTGTAGTAGCTCAGAATAATAATAATAATAATCAAGTCATCAAAGAGTTGTTGTATATCACAACGGCTGTTGGCAGGAAGGATCTCCAGTAGCGGTCAGTGTTGCAGCGAATCTGAAGAAGCCTCTGACTGAAGACACTCTTCCGTTGTCGGACAGTCTTGTGAAGAGAATGCTCAGGGTTGTCCATCATTTTCTTGATTATCTGGAGAATCCTTCTTTGCATTATCTTCTCCAGCGGTTCCGAAACTGCAGAAACTCTGGCTGAGTCCTTGAAAGGGCTTGGAGTTCCTCCATCTTGTTGTCCAGTGATCTCACATTGCCCATTATGATCGATGGAAGAGATGGTTTGAATTTCCTCTTTCTCTGTCTCCGTTTTGCTCCCGCTCTGCATCCACGCTTTTTACGTTTTAGCTCATTTGGGATTTGTGGCTTCAGTTGAGGTATTATTTCAGCCTTTCCAATGTTAATCAGCTGCTCCCGATGTTAAGCCAGCTTGTTGCCATGGTTATGCATCATAACAAATGTTCAACAAGTGAAAAAAGCTAATAAATAGAAGTAAAAATCCTCCAAGTTTCACAGCACCAGAAACAGAAAAGTCAAGTGTCCAAAAAATACAGTTTTTCTTGAGAAACTAGAAGAAAAAATGTCCAAGAAAAGGCTAAACTTACATATAATCAACAGAGCTACTCCAACATGCAGCCGCCCAGAGCAGCGCAGTTCTGGGGGGGAAAACAAAAATAATGATAATAATGGTCAGGAGAACGGAATCTGCCAGCATCAGCTTCCTTTGATGATGTCATAAAGGAGAGTGCAGTCCTATATAAAGGGCAAACATAAAGCAGGCACACAGACAGCTTCATTTGCAGCCTGGTTTTAGACCTGAGCAGACCTACAATGGCTACTGGTGGACCACACGAGGGAAACATGGAGGTATTTTCAGACATTTATAAAGCTGAATTAGACCAAAGGAATGAGCTTTTACAAAGAGAATTACGAGATCTGGAAGTCAAAAAACTAGTTTTTGGTAACCAGGAACGCGACTTTGAACAAAGGGTGGATGCGTTTGAGAAAAACATAGCTCGCATCAGGGAAAGTCTCCAAGAGGAAAGACAGAAATTGGAAACAAAAACGCAGGATCTGGAGAAAAGAGAACGCCACTTTGAGGATCAACAAAAGAAACTAACGAATCATGTTGATGAACTAAAGACGAACTCTCAGAAAGGAAGAGATAATTTAGTTTCAACTCAGTTACTCGACGAACACAGAGTAAAGATTGAGCTGGAAAACAGGGAACTGCAGAAACAAAGACAAGAAATTCAAGATGAGTGGAATAAAATTAAAGAAACTCAAATTGCAAATTGTGAGATGGCCAAACACTTGAATAAGACACAAGAGAAAGTCGGAGATTTATGGAAAGCTTTACAGGTAAGCAAAGAGAGATCAACAGAAGAAATTAATAACTTGAAAAGAGATCTGGAAAGACAGAAATTAGAGTTTATCGAATCTAAGAAACAAACAGAAAGGGAGTTAACTGCAGAAAAGCAGGCTCTCTGCGATGAGAAGGAGTGTTTAAACGCTGGGAAAATTACTCTACAGAACCAGATCGTTGAGTTTCAGACTGAATCGGAGCAGATCAGACAGATTCTGCTCAAAGACAAACTAGATGTTCAACTTCTGAGAGAAAATCTGCAGGAGGACAAATTGGATTTTATGAAAACAGCAGAAGGGTTCCAGAAAGATTTAAACGAAAGTTTACAGGATTTGAAGGAGAAGCTGGAATTTCTGAGTCTTGAGAAGAGAAGTCTGGAGGAAGAAAAACAACGTTTCCTGATGACCAAATCAGAATCAGGGAAGGAACAAGGGAGGATTTACAAAATCCTCCAGGAAGAATTAGACAATTTGCATTCGGGAAAACAAAGTCTGGAAACACAAGTGACGGACTTTAGGGAAGAAATGTTCTCCTGGTCCCCTGTCGCTGATGTTCTGAACAGCAAAATTACGGCAAATACTCTAGAGAATGAGCTGAAAAAGGAGAGGCACACTTATCATCTTACTAAAACTCAGCTAGAACATATCAGCAGTGAGATTGAGAAGAAGTTTAAGCAAAATGAGACACGATTGCAGAAAGATCTGGATTGCATGAAGGAGCTCAGAGATAAGTTTGAAGCTGACCTTTCTGCTAAACAGCAGCTTGAATATTTTGAGGAAAAACCTAATTTAGAGATCCAGGCCCATTCTGAGACAAAGATTCAGACCAAAGAGATTGTAGAGAAATTAAGAGCTGAGAAGGACACTCTTCAGATACGGGCCGATAGACAGATGTCTCTTCTGAAGGAGAACTTTGATAAAAAAGAGACTGAATTACAAAACGCCCTGGAGAACATTAGGGAACTGAATAACAAATATAATGATGTCGTTACCAACAAACTTAAAGCATATCATCTGGAACAAGAGCAGACACAATTTCAAGAAGATTCAAATTCTTACGCAACTAGTGTCGCCAGTGACATCACCAAACGACTGGCTAAAGAATCTCAGATGGAGATTTGGGAAAAACTGGAGGTTCAAGCCGAGGAAAATCCCGTCGCCTTACTAACTAAGATGTCTACTCTTTTAAATCAGAGTCCTCTACA